TTAAGAGTGTTATAGTTCACTTGGAACTGGCCAAATTCATGAGGAAGAGAGTTCATGATGAACTGTACTAGAAAAGACTCATTCACCTCCATTCCCATTGACTTCAATCTTGCTGCTATATTTGCCATTCCAATTACATGGTCATGTATGGGCTGCAACCAGTCAAACTTTTTGGTAGTCAGCTCACTCATAAGAGTTCCTACAATAGACTTGTCAGTTATGTCTGATTGTGAGTACTTCTTGATCAGTTTCATGAATTCCTTTGCGTTTTCTGTTTTAGGCATATAAGGCTTTACATTCTCTGCCATAGACATGCGCATCAAGTTTAGTGACAGCCTGTTAGACCTATGCCAAGCCTCATGAAGAGACTTCTCATCATCTGTACTAGTCACTGTAATGGTTGCGTGCATTTCATCCATCATAATTGCCATGTCCAAGTCTAACACACCCAGTTGGAACTGGATTTGTTTTGACCAATCAGCATAATTGAGCCCATTAAACTTGACCACATTGTTGCTCAAATCTGATAAATTCATGTAAGCTGGAAATAATACAGAAGCTCATACATTAATGCTTTGATAAAAAATTAATGGATTCAAACAACTTACTACACTAGTCATACATTCAAGTTGACCTTTGGGTGACACTTAAACTGATAGGTAATCATTTAAGTCATTCATTTAAGTTTACCTTTGGGTGATTCTTAAACTGACAAATTCCATATACACTTTGATAAACAATCCATCATACTTTAAGTCTATATGTATGTTATCTTTGGATATACAAACATATTTATTAAGTACATGAATTGTCTTACTTTAATGTCATCAATTATAAACAATGGTTCACCTTTGGGTAATCCATATACACTTTAATATTAATGACTAATTACTCTCCAAAATTCAACTTAATTGAATTTCCTTCTTCCAAATACATATAATTCATAAAACAAAATTATATCATATATGTTAGTAGATACACTTTTCAAATTAAAAGTATTTGAAACCTTCAAACTTTTAATTCACATTTAATTTTGATTCAGTACAGTAAGAGTAACCATGTTTAAAATATAATAATATAAGCTGCAATAGTAAATTGCTTTACTGTGAGAACAAGTGCCGCAACAGTAAAGTTGCGTTATGCCAAAATATAAAAAGAAAAACCCCGTGGCTAGAGTTATGAAACACTAAATTGCTTTAATGCAATAATGAATAAAAATTGCTCTAATTGAATTGAAAAAGTAAACAAAATTGCGGCTTCTAGGGTGAATGAAATTCACGTTCCAGTGAATTCAAATAATCATGTAATAGTAAAAAAAAAATTTGCTTTACTGCTTTTTCAATTGGCTTTCTTTTTCAATTCAATTAGAATTGACATTTACGGCATCCAGATGATTTCATGTAATTGACTTTCTTTTTTCAACTGGCTTTCTTTTAAAGTCCCTAATTTTATAATTCAAGGTTTCACAAAATTGAGAAAATTACCATTAATGGAGAATCATAAAATTTAGAACCCACTTGTAAGCAATTCTTTAATTTTCAATTGAATGAAAAACACATACAGGATCTTGAATTTTCATGATACTCACTATTCTCTCATACACAGTAGAAAAGAACTTCCTGGATCCATTGTACAATTTCTTTCTGTCAAACGTTCTCCCTTCTCTTACTTCACTTTAATGCTTTCTTGATGATATAGAAATTCTGAGGGATGTCACAGTATCTTTTCTTTTTCCAGAGAACGTAACCTTTCTTTCTCTCTTTTCAGAAAATTAACCTGTCAACCGTAGTCTCATCTTTTTCCCTCTTTTATGATATTTAATTAACTTTAATAAAATACCAAAATGTCCTTTATTGAAGTGAGAAGAGAGGGATTAATTTTAATAACTTTAAAATAATCCCTATAACTTTAATACTTTATATTCTAATAATCATCACATTATAATTTTTACATCAAAGTTATACTTTAAATTACATGAACCAATCTTAAATATTAATATAATTTAACAAATTTAACATTTCTATCTTAGTTCTAAAAGTTTAGAGTATAGTTTATAGGTATACTTGGAGCGGTTATTTATATATTGTATGTAATTTGACGCTAAACATGTTTGATTCAAGTGCAAAATGTTTCATTGTATTAAGTAATTGTTTGTAGATTTTGAAGTTGTCTTTTTGGATAACAGATCTACACCAACAATTGTTCTGTCTAGCATTTTAGATGCTACAGGTGTTTTTGTGGTTTTTTGTGGTTGTTGTTGTTGGACACGAATTCCAAGTAGATTTGAGACACTTGCCTTTAAAGGATTCATTCTTATAACGTGTTGAATAGAAAACAATATCTTTATTATAAACAAATATGAAGCAAGTATTTGCACATAAGTGTGAAATGAGTTACAAGGTAAAGTGAGTTGTTTTGTGATTTGCTTTCAGATAGAAGGCAGTTGTTAAAGTTAGATAAACACAATATCAATAGTGTAAAGTTATTACCTTCCAAGATAGAAGTAGAGTTTTCCTTTTATCTGCATGGAGTGAGACTAGTGTCAATAACATATTATAAGACAACTACAGCAGAGTTGTAAAGCTTGAAAAGAAATTGACGAAAATGACCACAAAACTTATTTAACAATGAAAACAGGGATTATTTGAAAGCAAAAATCTCTTACTATGATGAAATAACGTATTATACTAACCAAGATTTAGGATTCTCAAAAATAAAACAGCGTAAGTACATTTTTTATGTTTTGCTCAGCACCTTGGTTTGTTAATGAGTTTGAGGATGATAAAAGGAACTCATGGTTAAAGTAATAGCTTGGACCTTGAAGAAATGTAGCCAAAATGAACCGATGAAAACTTGGTCCCAATCAGAAATTATAATCTTGGAAAAACAATGAATCTTGACTGTGTGAATGCTGAAAGACTCAACACAATTTTACTTGTAAAATCAACCTTCAGCAGAATAACATGACCATATTTCGACAATCTATTGTTGATAACAATGATGGTAGAATAGCCATGTGATGAGGGCATCAATCTCCAATATGAATGGTTCAAGAAAATTAGGAACAGGGAAAGTGGTCATAACATTTTTAAGAAGTAAGAAAGTTGTAGTAGCATCAGTAGTCCACAAAAAATAATCATTTTTCAACAGATCAGTCAAGGGAGCAACTATATAAGCATAATGTTTAACCATATAAGAATAATGTCTAACAGGTATATGGTCATCTTTTATCATATATAGGCAGCACATACGGTCACTTTTTCCAACCAAGTTATATTTTACAGTATCCAGGGCCAAACAAATCTTATGTTACAGGGATTCATGTCATACCAAAGTAAAGTCAAAGGTATTCCTGAATCAATTCATATCATACAGTATATTCAGTTTATGGAGCATTCTTATGCATATCTAGAACTCAATAATTATCTTCCCAGTTGCATGGCCATCAATACTCTTGGCCCAAGCATCTTCAGCCTTAGTTAAAGGATATTTGGAATCTAAAACGGTTTTAAGCTTTCCTTCCTTGACTAAATCGATGAGATATTGAAGGTCCTCACGCTTGGGTAACAAAAACAAAGGCACAAGTTGCTTTTTGGAGAAGGTAAGTTTCTTCAGAGCAAATGTCAACATTGAAGCAGAGCTTGGAGTTATGTCTACAACCTTTCCATTCAAGGTCAAGTTAGGCTCAAAGGTGGACCAAGGAAATCCCACTGCACAGTGTATCACAGCATCATATTTCTTACCAGAGGGACTCTTCAAAGCAGCACCGTCTGGGGTCTTATAGTCAATTACCTCATCAGCCCCTAAGCTTTTGACCAATTCAATGTTGCGAGCACCACATGTTGCTGTCACATGAGTGTTTCCTAGCTTTGCCAGTTGGATGGCATAGTGACCTACACCACCTGATGCAGCAGTGATCAAAACGTTTTTCCGTTCACCGCTCCCATCAAGTTTGATCCCTATGGTTTTGGTGATTGCCTGGAGAGCTGTCAAACCTGCTACAGGTAAGCCAGCAGATTCTGATGCTGAGGCTTCTGATGGTCTTGACGCAGTGATGCTTTCCTTAGCAACAGCAAACTCAGCCAGTCCTCCACCACTCTAGCATGATAAACTTTCATGACTTATAAAACATGTCTTTTCTTTGACGAAGCTGCTTGATAACTGCTAAATTCTATCATGCGTTATCAAAATGCAGGAATCATATACCTTAATTAAAAAATGTATGTGTTTTTGTCTCCTGATTATAATTTAATAGATATAAATTGAAATAACTTCTGCAAAAATGTATGTGTTTGTCACAAAAATGCCAGAATTCTACTTGCACGTTATGATGATATATAAATTTTGACAAACACCTCCATCAAGTTCTTGTATTGATGTATGAAGATATTTATATATACAATTAATCAGTTTTTAATTTGAGTAGAGATGCTGTAAAAGGAGGATTTAGTAATATATCATCATAAATTAGAAGATCTAAAATTTCATGGGATATAGCTTTTTAAATTCTTCAAAGCTGCTAGAAGAAATTGACACTAGTAGTATTCTTTTGAAGTTGACCAGGGCTACAATATAATAATGATTGTGATAACTTACAAATGGGCTGACAAGGGCTACAACTTTGTCTCCAGGTTTGAACTTTCGTACACTCTTACCAACCTCTATAACCTCTCCTGCTATATCAGTACCTACATAATGCAGTATCTTCAATATAATAATTGCATAAGGAGATGGAATACATGAGATAAAGTAAAAATGTAAATGATTTCGTAAGCTCAAGCTGTAAAACATGATTGGAAGACTGAAATATCATGTTCAATGTGTAATGTGTAATTAAAGAAAATCAGCTTCATTGTTGTGCTATTGATTCCACATCTTTAGTTGAACAGTAATCACAAAATGATAGCTTCTAAGTTTATATAGAAAATAAAGCTTGCTAGTATCGCACAGGTAAATGTTTCAATATAGTTGTCAATGTTATACATTGCAAAAAGTAAAAACGGACTGAGATTGAGAAAAAAGAATTGACATGTAATGATAGACAGTATTTGAAGAGAATATAATATTATCACATACAGTTTCCTCATATAAAATGAGAAAGATATTAATCAAAATCTTGTCAACGATAGGTGGTAGAAAGTATAACTGTAAGGACTTGCCTTAGATTTCTTTAAGTGAGATTGTTAACTCAAATACTAAAATGTACGATAAAGATAAACACCTAAACAAGAAAGACAAAAAAGGAAAGGTACCAGGTATATATGGGAACTTGCAGGGCAAAAGTGGCCACAACATGCCTTTCTGTACTTTCCAATCAAATGGATTTAGACTAGCTGCTTCCAACTTAATCAAAACCTCATCTTTACTGGGAGTGGGCAAGGGAACTTCAACATGCTGTAATAAGTATAAAAAGTTATGAACAGCATTCTTAATCTGGTAATACTTTTCTTTGCCATTGGTGCTTTCTATGAACATAAATTCAAATATAATGCACTTCCTACATCAGATTGAACATTTTATCAGGTAACAAATTAAG